AACGAATTATTCGTTATACATTCCGCATAATTCGTTATAGCGTTAACGAAGATTCTTATAACGAAGTCCTGATCGGCCGGATCGGCAACTTCGTTATATCGAGGTGTGACTGTATATAGGAGATGACTATATAGAAGAACGACAGTATACATATTTTTTAAAATTAATAGAAAATAAATATATTTTTATTTTTATAAATAAATTCCTTTAATATTACAAATTTACAATCAAAAATAAACTATTATCATTGATATTTATCACAAAATACTACAATATTTTATTTATTATTAAATAAATCTTTTCTAATAATTATTTATAAATATTACCATTAAAAATATTTTTAAAATTATTCAAAAATGTTTTATTATTAGTATAATTATATCAATAAAATAATATTTATTTTATTATTTATTGAATTTTAATCTTTCTTTTATAGAAAGGTAAAATATTATTTTTTTGATTTATTATTAGAATTGTATTTTTATAATTTACATATCAGGTAATTTTGATAATTTTTATAAATTTCTATATAATATAATTAGAAAAATTTGCTTATATCAAAAAATTTTAGAATAAAAATAAGTAAATTTTTTTAATATTTTTTTTAATTTTATACAAGCTAATATTTTTATCAATAAATAATTTTATATATTATTAAGTAAAATTATATAATATTTTAAATGTAAAAATCTAAAACCTTTTATAATTTCTTTAATTTTTTTTATTAATTTATATTTTATTATTGTAACCATAATTATTTATTTATTATTACTACTATTTTCATAAAGTATATTATAATCTTTAATATTTAAAATATTATTTTTTTTAAAATTTTTTCATATTCTGAAAATTTTTCTAGTTTATTTATTTTTATTTTATTTTCTTTATCTATTTAATAATCAATCTTATTAATATTTAAATATTTCTTAGATTTATTAATTCATTAATATCTATAAATAAAATGAGATTATAAGATAATTAATAAATAAATAATTATTTATTTTATTAATCATTAAATCAGTATTCATATTTTTTTTTTTGCTCATTATTACTTAGTTTTTTCTAATGAAATCTGACATTTTTTATATTGATAATAAATACTTTTATTATTAAATTATCTTTTAAATATTTTTAAATAAAATATATATTTATATAAATAAGTTGATTCACTTATTTTGTAAGAAAAAAATTATAATTAAAAGATAATTTGTAATTATTAATATAAAATAAAAAACTATTATATAGAATTTTTAAAAATTGTTTTTTATTTTATTTTATTTTTAATTTAATATTTAATATTACTGTATAGTATATCTGTAATAAGCATTATTTATAATTATTTGATTTAATAAGCATAATTTAGTTGAATCAATATGAATTAATTATTTTACCTGATTTAATTATTCAATTTAATTATCCAATACCATTATTCAATTTGATTACCTGATTTGGTCTATAATTATTTTAATTGTATATTTTTAAAATAATAATAAAAACTTAAAAGCTTTGTTAAAATATATTATATATTATATTATATTTTATACACTAAATTATTTAAGTATTATTTCATAATCTAAAGTATAAGAGAAAAAAAAAAAAAGAAAGCAATTATATTTAAGATTTTATATTTTAATTTAAATTTACAAATATAAATATTATAATTATTATTAATTAAAAAAAAAAATAATATAATCAAAGTTAAAATTATATGATTTTATTTATTCGTTTTTTTTTAAAAAACATTTTTTAAACATTTGGGTAGTAAAACAATAAATTACAAGTAAGTTGGTGCGTTTCTATTAAGGAAACCATTTTCGTTAATGTAATAGTAATCTGTATTGCATAATTGACTAGAAATCCGGACCTTTAACTGTTAGATCAGACCTTTTGTTTTACCAAGTAATCTTATTTAGAATAAAGGATTACTTCCCCCCGATTATCAAAAATATAAATTAGTACAAATTTAATTTTGTAGATTATAACTATATAGCTAATATATTTAAGTTCTGGTACACTATTTAGGGGTAATGTAAAACGGACAGACGTTGGGGAAATTTAAATCCTTGTCTGACAGATGACCGAAAATACCGTAGTCCCATTCTGGTAACAGTAAATGCTATTGGCCTGCAATTCTCAAACGTCAAATTCTTACATGCCCTTATTAATCAGTATAATAATAAAAATCATGGAAATTACAAACATTGCGTACGATGCAGATAAATTTCATGGTAACTGAGAGTATCCAATATTCCAATTTTTTAAAAATTTTTCAATTTTCCATTCACGATTAGCTCTTCCAAAAAAAAATTTCGACGTTTTTTTTTTCATTTTTTTCAATTCTTCTTTGTTAGAAGAAAAAAGAGGGTACAAATATAAATCGTGTAACTTTAATTTTTATTACTGTTGGTTAAAAATGTTTCATCAGATCAATAAATTAGGAAAATAGGGGATAGTAATTCCGATTCCGATTGAAATAATGATCTTGTTGTTTAGAAAAGACTGACCGGTATCTCCGAAATTTTTGAAAAGTGATAATCAAGAAAAAAAAATTAAGAATAAAAAAAAAAAAAAAAAAAAATTCTTGATGTTTGGTAAGCATGTTTCAAAAAATAGCAATCGCAGTGCATTACATCGGTGCATTAGTCTTTACTAGTAAAAGCTAATTTAGTAAACAATTCTTTATATAGGGAAATTGTTTACAATCATTTGATCAAGGAACAAAGAATCTAGAAATATGTTAGTTATTATTATCTCTATTAAAATAAGATTTGAAACAAAATCACCTTGTACAAGTAACTTAATATGTGCATAATTAGTTGTTATTTTTTTAAAAATTTTTAGTTTAGACTTTCTTTTTATGATCAATTGTATTTCTCCAATGATACTGCTTTAGTTCTCTTTAAGAAATTCATTACGATTTAATATAAATTTCAATTTAAATAAATTAAAACATATATATATTAATTAAATATCTCTCAAAACTGGTTAAAAAAAAAATTAAATTTGACTACCCATTTTTTTTTAAAAAAAAATGACGATAATATTAATTAAGTCGTTTGCCGCAGTAATCCTAGCGATTTTTCAGTTCTTGGTGATAGTAACAGCACAACGTGCTCTTGATGGACAATCAAATAATTTAAATGACCCAAATGCTGGTACACCTCAATCACCATATAAAAGAGATATTGGAAAACAAGCGTGGCAAGATGGAATAGACGCTATGATTACAACTCCTGGAGATTATACGGCAGTTGTACCAAAAGGAAATGGTGCTTGTGCCGTTCCTGCATTGGAAGGATTATTTCCTCTTCCAAGATGTGTTAGTAATTTGGTTAATGGATTACAAGCTAAATTAGGTGACGAGTTTGAATTATCGATTCAGGACACAAAAAAATCAAAGAGGAAAAACTCTCATATGGTAAGTTCGTGTGGCGCAGCATCTATCGTAAAGTCATCTCTATCTCCAACCCTAATTGTTTTTCCTTGTAGTTAACATTTTGGGGACAATTCGCGAACATGGACGTTATGAATACTTTGTTCAATGGAGAAAATTTTCCTGCCGGTATATTTATTCCTTCAGATGATGCAACCTATACATCAGAATACGTTTTGGGTCCTTTAATTCCTACGGTGCAACAAGAAAGTTTCCCATTTAATAGAACAAAAGGAGCGAGTAATAGGAATGGGATTAATGAGGTTACATCATTTCTTGATGGTTCACCAATATATGGAGTTACGATAGATCAATCAATGAAAGTTCGTGAAGGAGTTCGTGGAAAACTTAAATTAAACTACGATGAAAGCACCGAAGATGGTAGTTTTGGATACCCGCCTGTCAATGATAATGGGGAATATGCCTTTGCATTAACTACACGTACAGGAAAAAATGTATTCGTAGATACCATCATGCTTATCCTTATGAGAGAACATAATCGCAAATGTGACTTATTATTCGAGATACATGGGGATACTTGGAGCGATGAACAATATTTTCAAGAAGCAAGAAAATGGGTCATTGCAATCATCCAAAGGGTCACTTCGCTTGAATACCTTAGTATAGTATTAGGAGCTCCTTTACCTAATTATTCAGGATATGATTCTGCAATGACGCCAGCAATAGATACGTTCTTTTCAACGGTTACTTCTCGTTATGCGCATTCCGAAATAAGTGATGTATATAATATAGTTGATGAATCTGGTTATAAACTTACTGAATTGCCCCTTAGGTCACTTAACACCCCTAAGCTCATTGAAAAATATGGGGTTGCAACGTTGGTTCTTTCGATGGCCCTTCAAAGGTAATTTTTATTGCGCTACATTTTTTTTCCTCTTTACTATTTAGTTAATATCTAATGAAAACAATTGATATGTTTTTTCTTAGACAAGAAGAAATTGATATTTTCTATGCTGATCAAATGAGAGTTCTGGTTAACGCTAAAACTGGAAAGACTACAGACGTTGCAAGTCTAGACATTGTAAGAAGTCGTGATCGAGGAATGCCATTATATAACGATGCGAGAGAGGCATTAGGATTAAAAAGAAAAACTCAATTCACAGAAATTTCATCAAATACAGAGGTACAAGAACGTTTACAAAAAGCTTATAAAAGTGTGGATCAAGTCGAATCTTTCATAGGAGGTTTAGCTGAAGATCATGCAAAAGGATCGATTTTAGGAGAACTCTTTCATAAAAGCTTCACTCAACAATGGAATTTGATTCGTGATTCGGATAGATTTTGGTTTGAAGGAAATAATTTAGGATTTACACGTGACGAAATTAACGAAATTCGTAATATAACTTGGCTATCAGTTATTCAAAACAACATTCCCAAAGGTTTTGTGTTTCCAACAAATATTTGGAGCGTTCAACCTATCTCAACATTTAACACATCTACAATTGAGGAGAATAAGCCTGCGCAAGATGATTATCCTGAACAAAATGTTCTTAAATTAAGTGAAGTTTATGAGATTAGATGGAAAATTAACGATAAAAACATTGATTTTAAAATAACAATGCTGAGTTCAAATGCATGGTTCGGATTGGGATTTAATCCTTCAGATACCGGAATGATTGACGCTGATATGATAATTATATGGAACAAAAACGATTCAACTTTATCAATAAATAACTACCTATCCAATCAATATGAACGACCTAAAGAGGATCCGAACCAATTTGTAGAACAAAAAAATACCCCTACTGTATTAAGCGGTTTTACTCAAGTTGAAATTACACGACCATTAGTTCCTCCAAATGGACGACCTCCAATTTCAAATAATGTAATTACAATGATTTATGCTTGGAATCCAAATTCAAATGAGCTATCTTATCATGGAGGAAATCGTGGAGCAACCAAAGTTAATTTCTTTACAGGAGGAGGATCTGTTGCTAATGTTTCTATTCAAAATATTCAGGATACTCGGTTCATTCATGGAATCGCGATGTTTTCAGCTTGGGGGTTAGTATTTACGGTTCTTAAACTCAATTTCTTATAATTTAAGCATCGATACAATGATGATAATTTTTTTTTTTTTTAAAAAAAAATATATATATATATATACACACACTAGTATTCTATTTCCTGGTGAGTTGAAATTTCGTTAAGTTTCTCATTAAGTTGCCATGTAAAACATATTCTAATGTATGATTGTTATACTCTTTTTAGCTTCGATATTTATTGTTCGATACTTGAAGCACGTTGAAACATACATGTCCCGGCATCGTAATTTACAAATGGTTGGAGGTTTAATCGTAATTACTTTTGGAGCTGCGGCCATGGCGACCGTCTCTAAACATGGAAGTAATTCGCACGACATGTTAGTGATATTATCCATGATAATTTTTTTGTTTCCTCTCTTTTTTTTTTTTTTTTATTTTTTATTTTTTTTTTTAAAAAAAAATTAATTTTGTGTTTATTTTTTTTTTTTCAGTTTGGGATTGTTAATTTATTCCACTATATTCCTTCAACTTGGATTGGGTATCCTCGCTATATGGGGTCTTGCCGCAGTTGAATCAGCTAGTACAGGAATTGTTGTCGGATTAAAACATCTTCATTTTTATTTAGGCTTCGTAATAATGATTCTTGCTTGGTAAATAATTTATATGAAACAAAAAAAAAAAAAAAAAATTTTTTTTCTTATCAAATATTTATCTTTGATTATCTTTTAATAGGTGTCAAATATACGTTGGATTAACCTTATATTCAAAACAATTTAACGTTGTGTCATATACATGGAGAATACTTTATTTGATTTGGTTGGGTAAATATCACTTTGACAAATTTATTTATATTTTTGTATTTATTTCAATTTAAAACATTCAATTTGATATATTTATATTATAATCTATTAAAGCGGTCGTGGTAGCAATATATGTTATAGCGGAGTATGTTTATAAATATAAGAATTTGCAATTCTTATGGCCACTTAGAGAAAATGGAGATAAAAACAAACGCCTTTATAATCGTATACCGGAAGATGTTTTTGAACAATTACCAGCAATAAGTTGGAATGATTTTAATTTAAGGGTTATGGCAGGAGCACATCTAGTAGTAGCGGAAGGGTTAGTATTTGATATACATAAATGGTTTAAAATACATCCAGGAGGACAAAGGATATTAAGGAGAGTAATTGGTACCGATATTACACAAGACTTTTTCTTTGACCCTACAGATCAAATAGTCATTAATAGGGCATTTTCAGAAAATGAAAAAATAATGAAACAAATTGAAGAAACTAAAGATGTAAAAAGTTTAAAGAAAAGGAAATTACCTCAAGCAATTCGACCTAAATCGATAGCCAATACCGTGGATTTAATTAATAGTACAACATTTAAAAATTCGAGGGTTGCGATGCATCGTCATTCAAAATTTGCTACGGCCAAATTAGCTACTTTGGTGGTAGCAAGAATATCAGATTCAACAGAGGATTATGGACAACAAAAGAAAGATGATGATTTTAATCCAATTTCTTCCATGACCCCAATAATTAATGCACCACCTACACCACAAAATAATTCACCTTATATATTTAAAAGATATATTTTAACTAATATCGAATATGCTACTAGACATGATGCTGAAAATCCTGTTAAAAAATTAACCTTTCAAGTCATTCATCCAAAAGACAAGTTGCCAAAATTTCTTCCCGGTGATTATATTGAAATCATGAGTTATGTTAACAAACATATGGTAATCAGACCATACACTCCATTACAAGGTCCTTCTGATAAAACATTTACAATATTGGTCAAGATCTACAAGGATGGTGCCATGTCACAACATTTGGTGAGTAAATTCGCATTAAAATTACGCGCTCAAGTAGTTAATGAACAAAAATCAACCCACTAACTGCATATATTATTAATACTCGTATACTCTATAGGAAAAACAACTGAGAAATTTCGAAATAGCTGTTCGAGGACCATTTGATGTAGCAGATAGGATGTATACACCGCCACAGGTATCCCCATATCAAGCAAGTAAAATACCAACATCACCGATAATCAGACCATCAAGTCCCAATTCCACCGCTAACCTTATGTATGGGAATAGTAATACGAGCTTAGCTCGTAGTGCAACGTTATTAAGACAAAATAGTGTAAGCAATATTCAACGTAATTATCAACCAAGTAATTTTGGTTTAGATAGTGTTTATGGTGATGAAAGTTATTCGGTGAATGGTAATAGTGAAGCTCACCAACCGTCTAATGGTGGTGTAATAAATAATAGGGTATTATTAAACCCTGCTAGGGAAGATCAGTGTTGGGATACATTGTTTATGGTTTGCGGTGGTACGGGTTTAACCCCTATGCTTCAATTGGTATGTTATCTCCTAATCGCAAGAAATTTTTAAAACTTGTCAAAGCATCTTAATTTGATACTTATTTTTATTATTATAATTCTCATAGATTCAATATCATTTGGATTGTGCGGATAGTTTCGGGTCAACTTTTAAACTTCATTTGCTCTGTGCAAATACACAAATATCAGATATCATCTCGATGAAATATTTAGATTTCCTTGCATCAACATCGGATGGTAAATTTACGGTAACTCATACCTTAACAAAACCTCCACCGATATGGAGAGGATTATCAGGACATTTAGACGATAATGTATTATTTAATTGGATATCGAAAAATTATCAAATACCACCTCCAGCAATACCACCAAGAGTTAATTTATCCCAACCACAAACACCACAACAAATGATGTTAACTTCATCATATAATCCAAATTTTAACGAATCTCTATATAATTATTCGGCTGCTACACCACCTCTTTCATCACAACAACTACCCGCTTCAAATATATCTATGGATGGTAGTGATGGTAACCCTATGAGAAATAGCATACAACCTTTTGCGTTTAGTAATTTTCAATCAAATAATGAAATGAATGTATTATCTGAAAGGCAAGAATTTATGAGAATGTTAAGTCAAGATGCCACTCAATCTTGTAGAGTTGCCGTTTGTGGTCCTTTTGGCATGATGGAAGGTGTTAGAAGATCATTGGAAAGGATCGGTTTCCCAGTTGACGCAAAAGTTTTATTTATTCAATAAGAGATTATAATAATCAATTAATCGGATTTTTTTTAGGTCCTTTGTATACTATTTTTTTTTTTTTTAATAACAAAATCATAAATTGCATTTCCTTTTATTATTTATTATTTATTATTATTAGTATTTAACTTGTGTAAACGTTAGAATAAAAAAAGGTGGAACTTTACTTTTCAATCGTAATTATTCAAATATCCATACAAATGATAATCTAACAAATAATCTTTTCGCTTATAATCTTCACAAAGATTTAAAAATATTGAACGACGATTAACAAAATTTTTATGACAATGAAAAGAAATTGGTTTTAATTCTAATGAATTCCTTTTGTTCATGAAATTTTTAAAAATTTCTATCTTCATTAATTTCCACCCGGTTTCTAAATATAATCTAGATAAATTATCGAAAGGAACCTCCATCATTGCTTCCATGAAACTATCAAATTGACACATTTTTTGTGTTGGATAAAGGTGTAATATTTTTAGATTAGTGCATTTTAATAATTGAGAGAATTCAGATAGATTCGATACACTGATTACCCCTTGGAAAACCTTTAGACTTGGACAATGTCTACTGATAGATTTAATATATAAGTCAGTTACACTTTGATCCCCTTGAATTTTTGTGTTTATAATAAATTGTTCCAAATCACAAGAAGAATTATCGATAAACTTTGCGATGAGATCATAATATATGGTATAATTATGGTTGATAATCAATTTCTTGAGATTCCTTAATGACGCCTTTGCCATATGCTTCCAAAAACTGACGGTGTATTGTTCAGTATACGTTATAATCAATTCCGTTAAATTTTCAAACCCTTTCAAAATCAAAAAAATCCCCGGGGAATCGTTAATAATAAGTCGAGTAATTGATTCTTTACTTGAAATGATATCCGAAGTTTTATTAATATCACCACGTGCTTTACTAAATTTCACATTTAATTCCTTCAAGTTATTTTGTGCATTAATAAAATTTCTTAATCCATCTGAACATAAATTGCAATTTTCGATTTCCAAATATTCCACATTACATAAGGTTCGTGGTAATAAATGTATCACATTGCTCCCAAATTGTAATTGTCTTAAATTATCGATCCGATTTTTTGTTATAGGATTCCATTCAATGATTTCCATTATATAATAAAAGCTCCTAATACTTAAATTTGAAGCATAAAGTGTATCTATATTTGTTGAATTAACCAGAAAGAATTTAAGTAATTCATAAGTTATAGTCTTTTTATTCGCTTTGTAATTTATTCGTTGAATTCTTCCTCCATCATCACCTTCATGGAATTCATCCCAAATCGCCTTTGTATGATTCTTGGCGGCTTTCCTTTTACGTTGAGGCTTAAAAATAAAGGAAGATTCATGAATTCTAATAGGTTGATTGTGAACCCAAAGTCTAATATCATTGTCTAATTCACTTAATACTATACTTTGTAAGGATTTTGAATATTCAAAAGTGAGTTTGTTAAATAATGGAAATTCAATAATTTCATCTCGTGATAATTTGTTTTGAGTTTTCTCTGGTAATGTTGAAATATATATATCGATTAAATTTTTTAAGCACCCTTCTTGTCGATATTTCCACGGGTTTCTCCAGAGAACTGGAATTGCATGTTGACACCACTGTCTGTTGACAAGAACACAAAAATGTAATGACCTTGGATCGTTTTCTAAATATTAAAATATCTCAAGCAAACAATCGTCAACTAGTACGGCCATCTAAAACCGACAATTATTGCGCGGAATTAAAATTAACTAATTCTGGTCAACATTAAAGCCTTCTCATTTGTTAGAGAATTTCCTTTTTGTATAACCCTGACTTTATTTTTCATTGGTTGGAGTTTAATTCTATTAAACCTTTTTACATTGGGTGACCGTAATAATTCTGCCATCATTGACTAGCCAATGAATAATTTGTGGTCGAGGAAGTTTTTTTTTTTTTTTTGATAATCTGTTACAATGTAATCAGGACAATATCTGGCATTGTTGTTGATATTTTTTCCAAAAGCCATCACCATTATAAGGTTAGATCGATTTATACAGATCAATAGGTCAGTTTGCGAGTCGATTACCCAATTTGAATTTTAAATGTAGGGAAATATATTTAGGTTTTAATTATTAGATCTTCTATCCTGTAACCTATTAAAAAAAAGTTTTTTTATTAAGGTTAAATAAAACACAATTTTCAAAGAATTTACCGTATGGTTTCAACATATGGGAGGTTTGCCATTAAAATCACGTTATGGATCATATGATTTACCATATTCGTAAACTCGGTTTTAGGGTGTCCAGGATAGGTTGGCGTGACAGCCCAAAAATCGCACGTGATTTTACGATTTTTATCGCGAAAAAATCGCAACTATAATTCTAGCCGAAATTTTATAATTTTTAGTAAATTGACCAAATTTATTATAAAATATAACAATTAACCATCCAAAAAAAATATTTTATTCATTAATAATCGAAATTTTCATTTAGATTAATGTAAAGAAAATTAAGCATTTGAATGCTTTCTTTTTTAAGTGCTACCCTTCTATCTGACAAAATTGTTTATAACTAGAAAACTACGTTCAACTTCAACACCAGATACTGGTAACCATATATATATTAATTCTAATGCACTAAGTTCTGGTAATAAATGTCTTTTACTATGCCAATATACATTTAAGTCTACAAATTCCTCATCTAATTCATTGAAACCACAATAAATGGCCTATTCTTGAATCAAATTATCAGTAGGAAAATGAAATTCTTTAATAATACTATAATCTGTCATATTAATATTTGCTATATTAGATTGGATAAATCTTGGATCAAAGCATTGTATTGCTTTAAATAATGATAAAGCTGAATGGTAAGAGAGATATTTTTCATATTTTTCATAAGCCAACCCAAAAGCCTGAGAAAATAATGTAATACATACTTCCCTGTCACAATTTCTTTCAATAAAAATATGTTTTATTTCATTTGATATTAGAGGAGTCCTTTTTCCTGATAAAATAAAAGCTTGAAAACAAACTTTTCTTGAATAAACAAATGGAGCTATTGCTTTATTTCAGATTTTAAAGAATTTTAAATCATTAATCAACCTAATTAAACTTTTTTAAATAATTAATAAAGTTATTAATTTAATTAAAATTATTAAAAACTTTCTTACCTATTACAATTATATATAATAAAACATATAAAAATTTAACATATAAAACATAATTTTGGTTTTGACAAAAGTTATAAAGGTATCGGATAGCCTTTGAATCATGGTTGAGATTATATTCTGCATTAATAAATGTAATTATATGAGAATATAAAGATTTAATCTAACACAAAAAAGAAAACCATGAATTTCATCTTATTTTTACAGGTAATGATGCTAAAGTAGAGAATTCAATATTATTTTGTAATAAATGTTCTTTCCAACAAATTTTTCTTTGTGAATTATAAATAAATATTGCTTTAAAATTTGCAACTAATTTATCAACTAATTCAAACTGTTTAAAATCAATCCATGTCTCTTCAATCAAATTAAGAATGTATGCTAAACAACAATTTTGTTTCATATTTAGTAAAAAAAGGAGTTAAATGAGAATATGCTAATTTCATATAAAAAGCATTATCTGTTATAAAAAAAATAATATTTTAATAAGGAATTTTATAAAAATAAAGTGTATTCATTATAAATTGAGAAATAGAAGTAGCATCTACATTATCTAAAAATTCAGTTCTAGCTAATTTGGTTTGATTACCAAAAACTAAACAAAATATTGACAGTATATCAACTATAACGGTCTGTTGTTTCATCAATTATTAAACAAATAAGTTTGTCAATAATTTTATTTTTTAATTTTTGAATTTCTAAATCATATGATAAGAAAAAAAAACTTTTCATAAAGTTGATTTGCTCCAGTAATTAAACTTCCTACAAATAAATTAATATTAATAATAAAAATATTAAAAAATTAAAATATAAATATAATTTCATATTATTTTTACAATGCTTTAATAAAAAAGGTTTTAATTTTTCAATTTTTTTTAAGGGAATATCCACAAGAGAAAAGGCTTCAACAACTCTATATTTAATTTTTCTTTTTTATTTAATGTATTTTTAAATGATGATAAAATTCTTTGAATTAACAAAGGAGAATCATTTCTATGATTTTTGTTATTTAGATATTTTATTGTAATTAAATATTTATTTATAGAGTCCTTTTTTTTATGGTCAAACTTCTATATTGCAAAATCAATATTATAAAAACTGCCTTGTAAAATATAATTCTTTTAATATTCTACACTTTATGCCAAGTGTATGTGAGAAACAACCATTTTTTTTACATAAAAGTTAAAAGTTAATCTAACGAAAAAAATTTAGATTATCCAATTAAATTTAAATAGCATGAAAATCGTAAAATTATACTGAAAATTATGATCACGTTAAAATTGCAAAAAAAAGTCAAAATCGTTAAAAAATCACAATCAACAAATTTTGAACATCCTACTCAGTTTTAATAGTAAACCTTCCATATTGAATTGTATAATTTTCCTTTTGATATACAATACATAAAAGTTATAATATAGTATATAATAAAAAAATTTTAAAAAAATATATTGTATAAATTAAAATAATAAATTAAGTTTAATCAAAAATAAACTTTAACTTATTTTATTTTTTTAATTTCACAATTAGAACTCGATATAAATAAAATGATTTTAGCTTATAATAAACTTTTACTTAAACTAAAATTACTATAGATAATTTTATAATTATATATTGATTTTATAATAATTATAATAACTATAACAATATTTAAATATAACGAATCATAGTAAAGATGTGAATCTACTTTATCTTTATTCAGAATAAATTAATATAGTTAAGTTTGTAATAAAACCAGATAAAATATATTAGTAAATTCAAATTTTTTAAATTCTCTTGTATATGATCCTTTATAAAGTTAAGCTAGATTATATAATATATAATATACATTTACCTATATTAAATTACCAGATTTATAATTACGTGATTTATTGTGTCTATAATAAATTCACAATTTCTCTTTAACGTATATAAAAATAATAAAAAATATATATATATAGTCTTTATCTTCTTCAAAAAAGAAATATGTAGAAACAAGCTGTTTAAAGCTTAATGTGAAAGAATTATTAATGCATATCTGAGTAGTATCAAGCAAATAGTTATTTTAACTCAATTTGGTATTTCTACTAATACTATTAACAATACTATAAAAAGATACAAAGAAACAGGTTTTGCAATACTGAGAAGTATCTTAGTCATCCTAAAATACTTAATTAACGTGATAAATAGACCTTATAATGTATCATTTAAAATAATCAGTTTACTTCTCTTAGTGTGATATAACAAGCAGATTAAACTCTAGTCTTGATACCATATTGCATAATAATACTGTTAGAAAATACATTCATGATGAAGGCTTTAATAGTTATATCACTCGTAAGAAATCTCTTTTAATCCAAAAATAGCAAAAGGATAGGTTAAAATGAAGTAAAAAGAAATGAAACTGGGGTAATAAATGGAAAAAAATAATATGATCTGATAAGTTCAGATTTGCTCTTTTTAAATCAGATAGAAGAATAAGAGCTTAGAAAAATCTTAAAAAAGCTTATAATAAAAATTGTATCTTACTTACAGTTAAATTTGATAGTGATTCAGTGATGTTTTGGGATTATTTTAGTTAGCATAGAGTTGAACCTTTAGTTGTAGTAGAAGGAAGTATGGATTCTAATACATATATCAATATTCTTACTAACCACTTTATACTATAAGTTAGTAATTATTCTAACTCTATTTTTTAGCAAGACAGAGCTTTATATTATACATCAAATTATAACATTTGGTAGATAAAAACATATAATATTTAAATCTTAAATTAGTTAGTACAAAGTCCTGATCTTAACCTGATCAAAAACTTATAAAATTATTTAGATTAGCAGATTAGAAAAAGAAAGCCTTTATCTAAATGTAAACAGAAATTAATAAATGTAGTTCAAGAGGAATATAAAAAAATTAGCATAGAGATAGTATATCACTTAATTTAAGCTTATCTAATTATATTAATATGGTAATTAAAGCTAAAGGTAAACATACTAAATATTAGTCTATTAAAATATAAATTATATTTTATAATAAATATAAAATTCATATATTATTTTGATATAATTTTTATTATTAGTTATTTATAATATAAAATTATATTTAATTAATAATATAGTTTAGTATATGTTTAAAGATTTAAAGAAGTTAAATTACATATATTGAATTCTGTAAGCTTCATAAAATTTACTTATTTATATATTAGTTTATATATTACATGAGTATTTACAATTTTGAACTTTCAGATAAGATAGCTTTATATAGTAAAATGACATTAGTCTCATTATCATATTTTTGAAAATGTTTTAAAAGAATTTGTAATATATAATTTATACTAACCAATCATCTTATTTTATGTAAAAATAAAAAAACTGAAAATCTTACTATTACTAATAAAACTATTGTTATAAATAATAACTAAAATATATATTATATAACAAATTATATTAAAAACTATTAAATAATGTTCTTTTTTAATACTTATATGATTTAAAATTTCTTAAGATTATTTAATATATTTTAATATTAAGTTTTATTTAAAAATATCAGATAAATTAAAAAAAATACTTTATTTAATAATCTTAATGTTTCTAAAGCAAATACTTTTGATAATAAAATTAAATTTTTTCTTTAAATCCAATTCATTTAATTTTACATATTTAAAATTGTTTTATTTATAATTTCTTTTTTTTTTTATAATTATTATTATCATCAATTAAGACAAATTCTTTAGTATTTATTAATTTATTAAAAATAAAATTATTATATTGATTTAATAAAATAAAAATAAAGTAATGATTAAAAATAATTTTCTATTTTTTATTTAAAAATTATTAATAATTACTTTTAAATTTTAATATAAAAATAAAATAAAATCATTTATTTTTAATTTAAAAATTAGAATATTTAAATTCTATTTAATTATCATAAATTTCAATTTTATTTTTATAAGTATTTTTGATATTTCTAAAATTTATAATTGATTATAAAATATTTCTTATTTATTTTATAATTTAATTAATAAATAATATATAAATCTTAATAAATTAATAATATTAGTATCAATAAATTGTAAATAAACTATAATAAATAATAAATAATAAATTGTAATATTGATTATAATTTAAATTATTTACAAAATAAAATAAATATATTGTCTATTAAAAGAAAATATTTTCTTATTTTTTATTAAAAGTTCTGAATATATTTATTCTAAATAAATATTTACATCTAAGTACTTTATTTTAAAAATAATCAATTAAAAACTATATTAGTAATCTAAATATTAATAAAATTATAATCTTAAATTTTTTTTTTAAAAAAAAAGTCAAATATAGTAATTTGTAAAATTTAAATTCAATTTAAATTTAATATCTGATTTAAATTAAATTTATTTAAATTAGATTAAATAATTCAATTAGATTTAGATTAAATATAAATAATTTTTTTTAATAAAAATAATATTTTAAAACCTTTTTAGAATTGATTAATAAAATTAGAATTAAAATTTCATTTTTTTAATAAATAAAATATTTTTAGATTTTTTTTAAATTAAAATAATTTTTTTTTTATATTCAGATTTAAATTTAAATTGATCTGTTAAATTCAGATTTAAGATTTAATCTGATATATTAGATTTAAATTTAAACTAATTTATTAATCTATTAAAATCTTCATATTGTAAAATTATTAGCATTAGTTAAAATAATTTCTTTATTAATAATTTTATTAATCACTAAAGTATTTAAAATCTAATTATTAAAATTTTTTCTAATTTTTCTAATTTTTTTTTTATTAATTTTTAAATTCAACTATTTTTTTTTGATTTTTTAAAATATTATAAATAATATTTTTTTATATTAAAATTTTTTCTATTTTTTTTATGTAATAATTGTAAATTTTCTTTATAAAAACATATATAAATTTTTTTTTAAAAATAAAGACTTTTTTTTTATTATTTATTGATTTATAATAATAATAAATTATTATTAAATTATTATAATATAATTAACTGATATAATAATTTGATATATCAAAATTTTTATTATATTTTCTAAAGATAGTAAATTAATATAATTTTAATATATAATATCAAATTTTATATATAATTAGTATATTAAGATTTTTAAATATAAAACTGACTTTTAAAGAAAAGGTTAATATTTTAAGAATTTATTATATTATAGATTTATTATATTAAAAATTCAAATTGCTCTTCCCTTTTCTTTTTTTTCTATATTTTAATGTATTTTTTAATACATCAAAGGATTTTTTATACCAAATATGTTTAATAAAAAAAAATTAAAATTTATCTATTATATTTATTATAAATAATTAGATAATCATATTCATAATATATAAATTATAATAAAAAATTAAATTATATCTAAATAAATTATATAAATAAAAAATATTAAAGAAAATTAAATTTATTATAAATTAATTTAAAAAATTTATTAATAAATAAAATATTAATAATAAAAAATAATTTAAACTAATTTCTAAAACTATTTTAATTTTCTTCCTATAATATCAAATAAAATTATATCAAATAATACTAATTCTAATAAACTTTTGATCTTATATTATACTATTGACTTATATAGTAATTTAATTATATAACAATAAGTAATACTGTAATATTATTAATAGTTAATCATAAGTAAAAAAAATTCATAAAATATAAAGACTTACAATTAATTTAATTTAATAATATATTTATTAATAAGTAAATAAAAATTAAAAATTAAATAAAAAAATAAAAGTAAAAGAATTAAAAAAAAATTAAAAGTAAATTAAACAAAAATTAAGAAGTAAAATATTTGATCTTAAAAATAAATTTTAGTTAAAAGTTTTTGATTATCTTTAAATTATGATTAAAAAATAATTATTTTAAAAATGGTTTTATATATTTAATACAAAATATATTATATAAAATATTTTTAAAAATATTAGAAAAATTATTAAATTTTTAAAAATAAATAAAAAATTTAGATTATTATCAAAACTTTAATACAAAATAATTAAAAAAATAATAATAGCAAAATTGAATATAGCTGTTAAAATAATTTGATAATCTGTTTAATTTCTTATTTTTATAATATAATCCTTTAAATCAAATAATAATTTGAATTCAAATTAAGTAATTTTAAATGTTACTAATATATATAAATTGTAATTTAATTTATTAAGATTAAATATTTTAATATTGTTATTGATAAAGAAATTTTACATTAATTTACATATAATAATTTCAATTAAAATTAATATAAATATAATAAAATAATAAATAATTTAATTTTAATTATAATATGATAGAATGTTGAATAATAACAAATTTAAACTAGATAACTAAAACTAAAAAGTAAGCAATTTGACTTTAGCTAAAAAGTTTTTATTCTATAATTGAAAAAAGTATTATTATTAAATTATATAATAAAAATGTAATTTAAATAATAATACAAAATAGAATATTAAGAATTTTAAAAGAACTGAATATAGTAATTTTTATGATAAATTAAAAAATTTAAACATCTTATGATTAATTAATTATATTTATAAAAAGATATAGATTAATAATATAATAATATTTTAAAAATTTCTGTTGTGAAAATCTTTATTATATTAAATTTAATGATATATGTTTAATTAAAAAAAATTTTAAAAAAACAATTATTATTTTTTAATTAATAAGTATAAATTATTTATAAAATATTTTAAAAACTTATATTATTTTAATATTAATGATTATAAAAGAATAAAAATAAAATTTATTAGATTTGTTATATTAAAATATATTTAAAAGTAATATTTTATTTTAAAATTAATAATTATTAATATATATTAATTTTTTAATAATTTATTATTTAATAATTATAAAAAAAATAAAATTTAATTTATTAAATATCTCATTAAATTCTATTAAAATATTATATTTATAAGATTAATAGATAAAAAATATATAATTAAAATATATTTATTAAAGTTTTTAAATATATTTTTTATAAATTTATTTATTTAAAATTACTTAATTTATATTTTAGATATTATATAAATTTAAGATTATTTATTTTTAGGATTATTTATTTTTAAAAAAAAAACAATACAAATGTATTTTTGAAAATTTTAATATTTTTATATTAATAAATTAAAAATTTAAAAAGCCTATAAGATAGAATGAAAATAAAAAATTATAATTTATAATAAAATTCTTTTATTATAATTTTACTTTTCTTTTTAAATGTTAGAAAATCCAATTATTTAATAGTAATTACTTAATATTTTTATACTTTAACTAAATAATTAAATTAAATAAAATTTAAAATATATTAAAATATTTAGAATATTAATAATAAGAATAAAACTAAAAATTATATATTTTAGTTTGATAAAATGCTTAAAATCTTTAGTTAAATTTATAATATAAAATATTATAGAATAATATTATCAATTAAAAATCAAATAGTTAAATTTAGGCTAATTCTGATAATATTTATAACTAAATTATTTATTTTTTAATTGATCTAAATTGATATTGATTTATTTTAATTGAATAATATAATTTAGTATCAATTCAAAATATAAGTCAACTATAAATTAATTTAAAATTGATCTCAATTTAATATCTATTCAATTGTAAATCAAACTTAATTAAACTTCAATTTGAAATATAAATTCAACTTTATATTAGTTTAAAATTATTATTAATTTTACAGTCAACTCTTGATATAACGAACTCTTGATATAACGAATTTTTTAAACAAATATAATAAAAATACTCTTGTTATAGCGAATTGGCCAATCAAATCTCTTAAAATCTTCACTATAGCCTTATAGCGAAGTTGAGGTCTAGGACATAGAGTTCGTTATAATAAGAGTTGACTGTATGTAATAAGTATTATAAAATTAGTTAAAGTTTAATTAATATTTTATATAATTTTATTTAATTCAATTTTATTAAATATCATTAAATAAAATTATATATTATTAGTATTATAATAAATATAAATTATTTAATGAATATTAAACTAATTTTAATAAAATTACTATTCAACTAATTTAGATTTATTAAATAACTTTTTGTTTTAAAGTTAATTTTCTTAAAATGACAAAAAATAAAAAAAAAAGAATTTTTTGCTATAATTTTAATAGTATAGATAATAAATAAATATATATATAATAAATACTAATTTTAAGCATTATTTAATTTTAAGTAACATTTTGACTTTTATAAAAACTTGAAAATAAAAATAAGCATTATCTTAAATTTTAAAAATTAATTATACTATTGAATCTTTATATAGTTACATTTCATATAATTACATTCTATAGATAATTTATTTTTAAAATAATTTTTTTATAATCTTATATCATTTATAATTACTATTATTATGATTAAATATAATTCTAGCTGAAATTTTTATAACTTCATATGTAAATCATTTTTAATAATTACAGTTAGCCCTTTTAATAATTATTTGTCAGCTATCACAGTATTAGGATATCAAAATATCAGGTTGTTAGAGCATTAAACTGTCAAGATATTAGATTGTTAAGATACCAGTATGATAAATAGTTAAAATATCAGGCTGGCTTAATTATATTTTTTATATATATCAAGCTAAAAATCCTAAAATAGCTTAATATTCTATACTCACCTTTAATATATTTCTTTAATATATTCTCTTTATAATTCTCCTTTTTACAACTTTATGATAATTTCAATTTTTATCATTTTACTTTATAATTTCACATATGTAATATCATTTATTATTTTATTTTAATTTCTAATTTATTATTATTTTATAATTCAATTTTTCTTATGTAATAGTTTCATAATTTATATAATCTTAATTAATTAGAATTTAGTATTTAGTATTTATAGAATTTATAATATTGATCAAGTGAAAGTGTAGAATGCTGATATTAAGATAACACTAAAGATGACGCTGCAACTAGTTACAACCCTATGATGCTTATTTGTCACCAGTTATGATTAGTTGTAATACCATCTTTAGACAATACTGATTAATTTGATATTATTAAATAAATATTTATCATAATTACTTCATTTTTATTCAATAATTATTTATTAATATCTTCTGCTTACATTACAAAATTGTTTATAAATACATAAATGAAAAAACTAAATATAACACTATCACTGCATAATTTTTAACACATATATTATTATAATATATGATTAAATTTTTTGAAAATTATCTAATTTTGATTGATTAAGATTTTAGCATAAATTAGAATAGTAAATTTAATTCATAATACAAACTTACTCTAATAACTATTTACTTTAACCTTTTTTGAATTTAGATTGTATTATTTATACTACTGATTAAAAATGCTAGATGCAATATATAAAAAAGTTAAAAAAAATAATAATTGAATGGTAGTATCTATATCAAAATGAATATCTATTACAAAAAAATTAAGTATAATCATATTCAGTATATATTGTAATATGTATCTTTAGTTTCACAATCCATTAATGCTTGAGCAACAATTTGTGATTTTAAATTTCTGTTAATTATTACAAAAAAAAGATAATGACATTTCATAATAGTTTATTTTTGAAGTATTATATTGAGAATTATATCACTATATTGTTACTAAGTTTCTAATTAACCAAAAAAACTTTATTAATATATTAATTTCATGATTTCAATCTTTATAAATTATCCAATACAAATCAATTTCTTATATTTTTAACCATTCATAAAGTCATAAGATATCATTAAAATTTTGTTAATCAACTTTATAAAGGTTTTGATTATAATCTTTTTGTTATATTTGCTTTTAACATATACTTTATAGCTAGTGGTTTTAACCAGTTATGAATATATATCCAATGAATATCATCTAATATAAGCTTTGTAAAAAGCCTTATTTGCTTAAAATAAACATGAGGTAGAATCTAAATTATGCCAGAAGTGCTCATTAAATTGAGTAGTGATATGAATTATAGAATTCAGATTGCTCTTGATAGGTTGAGAAAGATTAATATGCCATTTACAGTTGGTTCGTTATGTCCTTGATGGTTTATTTTATTTATTTTTTCTTGATTATTATAAATTCCTTCAGATCAACAAACTAATCTCCTTTTACCTTCAATCTTATCTGATATTCCTTTATGAATATGAAAGCCTTGTTGATTTGCCTATATTTTGATTTGTTTAAACGCTATCTTCCAGTTGATCCAACTTCTAGTTTTAAAGTCAAAGAATTTACTGTATTATCGGAAACACTTTCTGGAACTTCATCATCACTAGAATCTTCTGGAATACTTTCAAGAAAATCTTTTAGTAAAAAACTCAATATAAGTATCATCACTAGATATGAATTCAGAATCACTTATATTGATAAATAAAAATGAAAAAAATAAATAAAGGTGAAAAACGAGAAAGAAAATTTAAATATTTATGCGTGACTATGGGAAAAGTTTAATATTTAAATAATTTTTAATTCACATGAATATTAAAAATAGTATGCATTCGATGCAACCCGCACAGAATCAGGGGCCTGTGATAAACTGTGCTCGGTAAACTGACTGTACTACTTTTTTTTTTAAATTTTTTATATTTATCGTACAATAAAATATGATTGGTTGTTATCATTTTCAGTTTAGTGTACAGTTTATTTGTATACCATAGAATCAGCATTCTTATAAATGTAAAAATGCAAAAACATTATATTTTTAGTTCGAGAACTATTTATGTCTGTGCCTGGTATCTGTGTCCGCTCAAAATTTTAGTCGATACGTGGTTGGGCCCTTTCATCACACTCCTTAACAATGGTTTCTAAAACCGTGTTGTATAATAATATTTTAGTTTTTTTATGATATAATGATCGCAAACAATGCAGGTAGTACGGGAACAAAAGCCATTCGTTAATAAAGCCTAATGTAGAGATCTAACAACCGAATTACTTTCTGAACGAAAGGTTTGTTACGTGACACAATGAAATTTTTTTTTTAGCAAATCACCTTTGCATGTTAGTCACGCCAAATTTGCGAATGTAATTATGTGAGAAGTATTTAGTTTGTATTTTTAGAAGTGAAATTTATTATAAATACAACGAATTAATCTTTTCATCCCATTCACTTTCTTTTCTTTTTGCTAAAAATTAAAGAAACATGAGATTAATTCGTACACTATTTATCACGACGACTTTATTCGCACATAATTTCCTCGGTGTGCTCTCAAATAATGATTGGCTTAGCTTTGGTGGTCCTGGTTTAGATAATAGTCGCAATGCCGTTGGCGAAAGAAACATCTCTCCCAATAATGTTAATTCTTTAACGGTAAATTAAATATATCACGTGTTTTTGGATATAAACGGTTTCAATTCAATACCATCTTTTTTAGATTAAATATGTGATTCCGACCGACAATTCGGTTTCAGCCACACCCGTGACTTTTAACAATAACGTATATTTCCCTGACTGGGCAGGGTTTTTATATTCCGTCGATGCCAAAACCGGAACGATTAATTGGAAATTTAAATTATCAGAGAAATACCTTCCACAACCGGCCGATCCACAAGTGATATGTCGGGATACATTCGCGATTGATCCAACCGAGAAAATTATTGTATTAGGCACTCAGAACCCTTTCAATGGAGGTGGCGGTTTCGTGTTGGCAATTACTCTTCAAGGTGAATTGATTTGGCGCACATTAATTGATGACCATCCATTTGCTATCATAACACAATCCCCCACAATATATAATGGTGGTGTGTTTATTGGAGTTTCTTCAACCGAAGAAGGAGCTGCCGCTTTCAGCCCTGACTATGTTTGCTGTACCTTCCAAGGAAGCTTTGCCAAATTAGATTTAAGGACCGGAGAAATTCTTTGGAAGACTTTAATGTTACCTGATAATCATGGTAAACCTGGTTTGTATTCTGGAAATGCTGTGTGGGGTTCTGCACCTGCTATTGATCCTAGCAAAGGGTTGGTTTATATCGCCACCGGTAATAATTATGAGGTAATCATTATCCTTTCATGCTCATTTCCACATTTTATTAGCGTTGCGACCATATCATTTAACTTGCATGTTTTTCCATCATGTGTTTAGGTCCCACCTGACGTCGCAGACTGTGTAAAATCCGCAAAAACGCAAGAAGAGATGTTAAAATGTCATGACCCTAAAAATTATCTTAACGCGATACTTGCCTTAGACATAAACAATGGTGAAGTGATTTGGGCAGTGATAACTTCCCCTTTTGATAGTTGGACCGTATCCTGTAAACCTGGTTTGACCGTACCTAATCCGGAAAATTGTCCTGAACCTGCTGGACCAGATTATGGTAAATATTATGTGCGTCAAAATTTTCTGCATTTTTGTTTGTTTGATACTAACCTAGGTTTTAATAGATTTTGCTCAAGCACCTTTGCTTGTCAAAGCATGTAACAAGCCTGGTTGCCCGTTACTTGCTATAGCAACCGCAAAATCCGGAGTTACCTGGGCGATAAATGCCGCTACGGGTGAAATTTTTTGGTCTGTCGAGTCTGGACCGGGTGGGCTTGATGGTAGGTTTTTTTTTTGTTTTGTTTTTGATGTACGGATAAAAAAGCGTCAGAAGTTCAGGTCATTAACTGATCTAATTTTAAAAACTTTATAGGAGGTTCATTGTTCGGTTCTGCCACGTAAGTTTTCCACTTTTCTCATTTCTCAAACATGAATGGATCAATATTTAATTTATTCTTGATTGCAACAAAATTAATTATTTATTATTCAGTGACGGAAAACGATATTTCGTAGCACAATCCAATAGTCATAAAGATAATTACATATTTGAAAAACCATCTCGTAACAGTCCATCCTCAACAAAAGGGGGTGCAATGGTGGCAATCGATGTACTAACGGGTAAAATATTGTGGCAAACGGCCAATCCTACCAATGCTGGATTTGTGGCTCCGGTATCTTATGCGAACGGTGTTGTTTGGTTCGGTAGTAGGGATGATAACGGTCATTTGTATGCTTTAAACGCCAATACCGGTGACATTTTATTTGATTTCGTTACGGGTGGTACGGTCGCCTGTGGTCCAAGCATCGTTGATGGTGTCGTTTATGCTGGTAGTGGTTATCAAAGGTTTGGTAGTGGAACTCCAAACAATAAATTATATGTTCTTTCACATTTGTAATTTTTTTTTCGCGTAAAATATTTATAAACTATTTCATCTGTCGATGATTTATGCGTGGGTTCCTTTCTAAAAATAAAAAATAAAAAATAACGCAAATTTGTCAAAGTATTTCGAGAATTCCATTTCAAAGTGAGTAAAGAAGTTTTTTATAAAAAAAAAAAACTAATAGGAGCTCGCAAAAATATATATATATATATTTCATTTTTACAAAAAAAAACTTGCAAGGAAGGATTACGACATAGGGTTTCCGTTTGAAATACAAATTGCATTTCAAATATTTGAAAGTTTTTTAAAAATAATTTCAAACGAATATCGAAATGATTTTGGATATCGAAAGTCATTTCGGATTATCGAATTGATATCGAATACTCGAAAATCAATTCGGATACCAAATCATTTGATGTTGTATATACTTTTATTTTTTCGCATTTTCCTTCTTTTTTGTTTTTTGGTTTTTTCGATATTTTTAAATTTTTCGATTCTTTTTTTTTATTTGTTTTTATATCATTTATTTTAAAATAAATAATCGAATCTCCTTTGCATAAGAGGATCGGAACTAATACTCCTTCAGACGATATTTTTGGAAACCTTTACATGAATTTTTCTATAACCTGCGAGATTTCCCGATGTTATTTGAATTTTTTTTAAAATCTTAATTCCGAATATATGATAAACCGCAGCCAAGTTTACTCACTTTATTTAAATTAAAAGCTAAGCCAAAGAATATGAGATAAACAAAAATAAAAAAAAAAAATACAATTCACAAGGTTTCTATTGAACGTGCTGAACGTTATAATGTTAACGCACATCTTAATTATTCACCAATATACTGTATTTTGATAAAAAAGATATTTATATTATATACCTTGATCGTTATCTAATTATGTATCTTTAGCTATGTCAACTGAATCGGATATCTTGATGTGCTTCTTTTGTACTATTAACCCAATAAATTAAAACTATAGTTGCAAACTATATTAATTTGAAATTAGATTTACCTTGATTTATTGTCACTTTTTTATCTTTTATGACTATAAAATCGTGTTTGACTTTTATATATTCGTGTCCTAGTGATCTTTCTTATTATTATTAACTTGTTTATTATTATCAGAAAGAAGACATTTGGATTTCTTACTACTGGTCATGTTTATTATTCAAAGAAATTTGTTAGGCCAATATCGAGTCATAGAAGAAAGAAAGACAGAAAAGCATAAAAACCATAAAATGTATAAACTATTTTCTTTTATATGTTTTTAAAATAGGAAGTATATTTCTGACTATTGATGGATATACACAAAACTTAATCATTGACAGTTTATCAAAGGCTTAAATCATTTCTATACCTATTGAAAATAAACTTCTTTGGCATTATACAGTATAATAACGATAATAAAAGCTTATTTTAATGAACTTCGATAAATTGGCTAATTTTAATAAATTTACGTTAATATTATCGTGAATTACTTGCTAATTTTTTAAAGATGTCAAGATCAAAAAGAAACCACATTAATAATGATTGTTATAATATTGCTGATACTAGCCTAGAACTAGAGTTTTAGTTGAATATAATTATATGCTACGTTATTATGGTAGTAAATGGGTAGACTCTAGAACATTTGAAAGACCCCAGAATGACTATTAGACAATTGTTTTTAGTTCAATAAATCTTCTCAATCAGAAAATAATATTTTAATATAGTATCAACATCTACTTCAAAAAAAACATCAAAAAGAAAGAAAAGAAGCTAAAGAAAGTCAAAATTTATTATATAGTTCTCTAATGGTAATAATCATACATCAATTAATATACCAAAAAGACAAAAATGATATAATAAGTTTAATAATAAAATTCTAACCAGAATAATGAAAGTAAAAATAAGTCTAATTGAGAAAGATTATGAAGATGAAAAATCTGGTTGATAATGAAAACTCTATTGAAATAAAACAAGAAGATAATTGCAGTTTAGGTAAAGATAATGTCTATTTGAAGACTTTACTGCTTCTAAATTAATGATTTGATAATTTTAATTTTAACCTAAATATAAATATAATAGCTTTGATAATTATAGATATTAATATAGATTCTTAAATATCAGTTTAAATTTTGCTTTTTAGATGTAACTATTGATTTATTAATTAAATCTTTTAGAATAATTTTACTAGATATTAATAATATAAGATTTAAAGATTTTTCAATTGGCTCTTATATGATAAGAAACTTTTAGG